AATGTGGAAAATAACAAAGCTTGAAAAGTTTCCGAATTTTTACCAGTCTCAAAGAGTTTTTTCAAAGATAAGGACTATTAAATTAATAAGGACCGGTTTCAACAAGTTGCATATTATTATTAGTGGCGGAAGAACATGGATTTAGGTTTTTTTTTCATTATTCTGATTTATAACATGAGTCAGTCACGATATGCATCTATCCAACCATCCATTGAATGATTTTCATCTTATCTTCAAGGACGTCAGCAGCCAGTTCGTGTTGAAGATCTCTCCTTAGGCTAGGGTGATGTCAGCTCTGGTCTCCTCTAAGGCAGTTTACCGCCGTCTTTTTCTTTTTTCTGTGTTCATTAATTGCTTATCTCTTTAACTTCGAAGTGCATATCATCTGTATGCCGATGACCTGGCTGAACCTTCAAGCTAATGTTGAGGAAATCACAACAGCTATCGATAAGGTCAATATAGATCTCAAAACTATTGAAAACTGATCTAAAAATTTGGGAAATGAGCTAGCCCGACAAATGTTTCAATATAATCGGCGGTCACCGTTCGATGAACAGAGTCGATTTTAAGAGGCTTCCTAAAATTATTAACAGACTCTTTCTCACACTACTGGATATGTCAGCTCTCCGTTCCTATTTTTTTATTTTAAGGAACACAAACGATGTATTGTGCAGTAATATCCAAGGACATGAATTAATTTAATTTTAGTTAAGGTCCGTTTTATTGTCAACCGATCTTTGGTTTTTTAATTTTAGTAATCGGGTTATTGACGCGCCTTTCATAACAATATAATTGCAAGGTCTTGAAGTATTTGGTATTACAGTTAACTAATTCAAATGCAGTCATTTATCATTATCATTTAGCACGAACAGATAAGAAGATCTGTAAACATATGTAAAGCTTTTAACAATTATTTCAAAAAACGTCCTTTGGCATCTTATTTGTAGAAGAGTTTTTAATTACTGTTTTCGTTATGTAATATTTTCTTTTAGTAAATTTGTCATAAGAATACCCGGTTTAGACATAAAAATAATGTGGTGAATAGACTCAAGAACTAAGTCGCTTTTTTGTCTCTAGCTAGTTGTACCCTTTTACAACCAGTAAATGTCTTTTCCTCTATGGAATGATATAAAACTTAGTTTGAGTTCTAATATTACTTATAAATTTTAGAAGTGAGTCATTGAAAAAGTGACTAAATCTGAACCTCGGTCTCAAGGACTAATAAAAAGGAATTTAAGGCCAATTCTCGTAATAAAAGGTTGGTTACAATTCAGTTCCGATCAACTTTCGATCTCACAACTGTCATAAAAGGTATTTTCGTAGTAAAATAGTAAAGTATTACTGAAACTTACCGATTACCGATTACATTTTCAATTACAATACGATATAATCACATTACAGTCAACGTTGGATATTTAATATTTTACTACGAAAATACCTTTTATGACAGTTGTGAGATCGAAATGATTGGAACTGTATAGTGACCGAACTTTTATTACGAGAATTGGCCTTCAGAAGTATGTAATACATAGTAACGAGTAAAGATAAAAAATTAAACACATCTTATATCACATAATCATGTTAATTAACTAATTAAGACTGAAAACGAAAGAAAAAACATCTCATAACAAATTAGAATTGATGTGATCTATTTAAAAAAATCTATTATAAATATCTCAAGGATAACAAAATGTATATAAAAGCAGTAGGTTGTGAAATTAATTCATACAAGCTGTTAGTAGCTCGGTGAGTACTACCCAGTAACAAGAAAAATATTTCTTTTATCTGAATATTGTTGTTAAAATAATTGTGTGTAATTTTTTTTTTTGTCAACTATCGCAAGTAAATATATGTTAGGTTATTTTTTCTACAGTATTAACTATACCATTTCAGTGGGTATATAATGATAAATAAATTAAGTACCTACTAGAAAACAACAGTTTTGACTGTTGTTACAATACTTACAACTTTTTTTTGTTCAAAGTAATATAAATTTAAAAAAAGTTACCTTTTACATTTAATTATAAATGATACTTTGTTGTACTTTGACATTGATCTTCTGCTGTTCTTTTACATTGTTAGAAGGAATATTTATAGAAATATTTATGGTATAACTTCCACAGATAATTTTCTAAAGCATAGAACTAAAACTCTTTTCTTTTCACTAGTTATCTGAACAGAATGTAAGTCTTGAAATTACAACCCTAAAAACTTATTGATTTCAAAATTTAAGAAAACAAGTACTATAGTTTGGTAAACAAAAATTATTTTGATCAGATATTATATATCCCGAAAACATATTAAAAAAAACCGGTCAAGTGCGAGTCGCTTCGTACCTTTTAAGAATTTTGAGAAATTGAGCTAGTCCTCTAAATTGTATGAGCGCCCATAGAACTCAGAGAACTATCTTAATTGGCGTCAACTATGTCTGTATGGGGGACACCCTTAAATTTTTTTACCTTTAATTTTTTGGAATTTTTCCTTTATTTGTGCTGTAAGACTTTGCTTTTGCCAAATAATCATTTTTAGTTACTTCGTTGATTAAGTCAAAGTACTTGTTTCTTCTTAAAGCGTGGTCATTAGGTATGTTCGTTTCCCACGGCCCCGTGAGTTCTACTAGTACTAAACGCTTAATTTAAAGTTGCATAAAGAAATATGTCTAGTCTGGACGCCGAGGCACATATATCCTACGGTATTCTGTAATGATTTTCATGAGTGTTCACTAATAATGTCCAATCACTGGCGGTATTTATAATGAAGTACGGCTTTTGTGAAGTTTTTGTTAAGTCTTCCTTTACAAACACGAGGTTAGTTCTTATGTTTGTTGTTATTCCTTTTTTGGCTTTCGCCAGCGATAAACTTTTAGCTTCGTGTATGATTTGTAGTACCCTATCATGGTGACGTGAATAATGACCCCGGCCTAATAGTGCCTTACAACCTGCCAGTAAGTGCCTGGCTGTACCTATTTCCGCACTGCACATCTTACAAACCTTTTCTATAGTTTTCCCCCACCTTACTAGGATGCTTTGATCGTGGAGAGTCAATTGAAAGGCGTTGAGGTAAAATTTTAACAGGGCAGGTGACCAATCGTATTAAAGTGTGCGCCATTTCAAAGCTCGTAGGATACAAAACTCTTCTATAGTTAACCATTCATTCTGCATTTCTAGGTTCATTGCGTGCAGCTTGTAGGTCTAGTTTTCATCTTGTTGTAGGAAAGATTTTATTATCTCTTTGTCGGTCTGTCTTCTAGCATTTCCCAATCCAACTCTACTGGCATACCCAATGGAATTGGAGCCGTGACTAGAGCTCTAATGATTTTTTGTTTTTTGGAAGGGATCTAACGATTTCGTCTTGTGATTTTGACAAGAAATGCATTTTGGTAACTCATCTTTTTAATTTAATTCCAAAGTTATTCGAGCCCCTGTACAACGTTGACGGGTCTGCAGATGATGCTAGCCCGACCCACGACTTCAATGACTTAGTGACTTTCGCGTCCAGTGTTCTTAAGTGGTTCTGGTTTATATCGTATACCTCAAACGGCCAGTTGAGACGTGATGTTAAGTAGATGTCGTAAATCCAAGCTTTTTTACGTTGCTTATTGGCTGTAAGTCTACCTTGTCAATGTCTTTTACGAAGTCATCGACTATTGTGTTTATAGATGGAGTACGACTTTTGTGGTTTACCTTTTTTCCAAGGAATTTAAAGGGCATGGGTTCTAATATGATTGAAATATTTTTCCCACCAATAGTAATCCCGGGGTCACATGAGGTATATCTGGTACTTCGCCGGCCCAGACAAAGGTATGGACATTTGTTAGGTTTTGTCCTCATTCCCTGCGTCCAGGTATACTCATCCACCACCACACTGCTTTAGTTATTGGCATTGCTTCGGGTTACGTGTGAGGATAGCGAGGTCGTCTGCGAATGCTAAGATGGATCCCGTATATTTTCCATTGCCCTTAAACCGGTAGCCCCACCCCTTTTTCGTGTGTTGCGATATTATCTATTAATATATTTATAACTGTATTAAATAGAACTGATGATAAGCAGCAACCTTGGAACAACCCTACTTTGTATTTGACGGGTGGACGGGACGGGTTTTCCCCTCCACCGCGTGTGCCGGACGTCTCCTAAATAGAGAATACACCCAAAGGTGGTGCCCACGCCGTTGCGGGCAGGCGCTAGGAGGGGTCCGGATGTCTTAATAACAGCAGTTCCCGGATCCATCCTATTACAGGTGCAGCGTGGCACACCGTGTGGTTTTAGTCGGTCCGATTCCGACACAACAATCCGCCGTAAACCCCGGTGGGGTAACGGCCCGAGGGGGTTTCCACAAGTAAAAAAAAAGGTTGTCGGTTTCGTAAGCAATTTGTACTGATACTCCTTGAATGAACTTTAGTATTGATCAGGCCCAGATGTGGATGGGCTCCTGGTTCGGGTCACTCTCTGGCCTGTTTTCAGATAGGTGTGGGTCAACTCAGCAATTGACGTCTATCTTGCATCATTGCCATGGTGTGTTTTCAAATATTTTTTTTCATTTTTCATTTTTGGCTTCTATTGGTCGTAGCGTTATGATATATAGCTTATAGCTTTCCTCGACAAATGGATAATAATAAAATAATAATAACAACTTCACACATCTGACACACGGAATGTTTAAATGTTTTAGGAACCAGGCTTTTTTCTTGTACTGTTTCCCGCATGTGGGGCATCTCAAATCCATTATCTCGCCCGGGTTGTCACTGTAATCTTTTGGTGGACAGCTCTTCCGCCCCCCTCTCGAACTGTCCCAGGTGTATATTTCGTTAGTTTATAACGACGAAAGATGCAAGAGGCAAGAAAATATATAGCAAAAATAGCAAAAATTATAACAATAACGGTTTGTTACCCACAGAATCTGTCACCATGAAACTGCTCATCGTTCTATCTTTGGTTGTGTTGGCGGTCGCTCGCCCTAACGAGTTTTATGACGTCAAGTATGAAAGTTTCGACGTTGATGAGATGACCAACAATGATCGTCTCTTGAAGGCGTACGCCCTCTGCTTCATTGGAGACGGCAAATGCACAGCCGAGGGATCCGATTTTAAAAGTGAGTTTTTTTTTATATCAAAGTAAGTCTTGGTACTACAACAGTTTACTATAAAGTTAAATCAGTCTTTTTTCAAATGTCTAAAGAGTAGATTCTATACGCAATTATATACAATAACAACTTTGAGGTCATGCTTGCTCATTTTGTTTGTAATGGATAGGCTTCGAAACTACTGGATCGATTTTAAAGGTTCTTTCACCTGCAGAAATTTACATTATCAGCAGGCAAAATATCTTACAATTCAATTTTGAAAACATAATTAAATTGCCTATCAAAATAACGATGGTTCAAACTATCGTGGATCACCAGGTATAAAAAATTGATTGAAAAACTAGATGTTTGAAAAAAAAATGCCAACCTAATTTATATCTACAACTTTCTCATAATATATTTCTATTATATTTTATAATGGCGAAAACTACGTTTTTGAAACTTTAACAGCAAATTACAAAATAATGGCACGGTTTCAGCTGTTGCAATTTAGTTATATTATCATGACGTACCGAGAGGAACATAAAAAAGTCGAAATATCTCTAGCATTTTTTTTAATCTTCCTCCTGGTCCATAATAAGCATTTTTAGTTGAAATTATTCAACTAAAATATGGATCAAAATAAAAAGTAATTCTATCAGTATCATGATATTAATCCTTATCTGAATAAACTAATTAACAATTTAGGCCTAATATTGAGGTACAAATTATTTTTTCGATTGTTGAAATCGGTCAATTCGTTGAAATCGGTCAAGTTATGATAAGTAAAAGGAGACCGGCAGATCCTTTACCCCTTTTTTTTTCCGTGCGGAAATCCCCTCGGATACCACCTGTCGGTGGCATGTCGGACTCGAACCGACTAAAACCGCACGCCGTCTCGGGTACTAATAGCCGGGGAACCAGGTATACCCTAGAAAGGAAGTCCCTGGTGCCCCGACATACCTCGGGTCATCTACAGACGAGTAGACGACCCCCCCCCCGTGTGGGAACCCCATGTTCCCTGTGCTCCCTGGAAGCGAGCGCGCTTCGCAACACGCTCGCCGCCACCCCGGCCTGCTTCTGCTAGGGTGACAGATGGCCTCACCTGTCACCCCCAGGCCTGCGCTTATGGAGGACGGAGGTCGTTCTGCGACCTCCGGCGCCTGAGTCGCCTGCGGTACCTGGCCCGTTCCCGGGCCTGGCGGGCCGGGAGAGTTCTAAACCTCTCCCGGTCCCGCTCCGCCGTCTCCTTCGCGAGCATAACTTGCTCGCAGAAGGAGACGGCAGAGTTCCACGCACTCTCGCTCCGCACGATAGCCGCAATCAGGCTATCGAGCGAGAGAACTCCCACTCCGATGGCCGCCACGAGGTCTCGCCTCTGCTCATCCCACGCCGGGCACTCTGCCAGCGTGTGGAGAGCCGTGTCCACGGTCTGGCCATCGCAGTGGTGGCACTCAGGCGTTGGCTCCTTGCGGATCAGACACAGGTGATCTCCGAAACATCCCTTCCCAGTGATCACCTGCGTCAATCGGTATGAGAGGGTCCCGTGACGCCTCTCGAGCCAATCCTCCATAACGGGTCAGATCCTTTACCCCTCGTAATTTATGATGGATCATTATGAAATTTGACCGTTTATAAAGTGACTTATTAGTTAAAGTTTTCATGTAAATGTCATATTTTGAGAACTTAGATATAAGTAAATAAAGTCTTCTCAAAGAATTGTTACAACTGCAATAACTAAACGTCCAAGTGTTGTTAACAAAACGCATTCCTACGTTTTCTAAACTTGTCATGCATAAAATGTAAATTACATAAAAAACCATGTATATCTTCTAAGGGTAACCCACAGTAACCATTATTATCTCTCACATTTTACAAAAAGAATGGGTTAATTATGAAGCTATTATAAACAAAACAGTTTTATTATTCATCTAATTAAATACATTAGACACTTCTAGACACTTTTTTCATGGAGATTGAAACTGCCTTTAACTACATTTCATTAAAATAAATATCTTAGAAGATATCAGAGCAGCCGTCAGGCTGTACATCTCGGGTGAGTAGAATGGGCACATCGTGGTTCCCATACACGAAGAGGTTCCTTACAAGCCTTAGATGGTTTGAGGTCCGTAGGGGTGCCAGGGATTACCTTTCTAGGGTACACCTAGTTCCCCGGCTACTGGTACGCGAACGTCTTGCGATTTTTAATAGATTCGAGTCCGACATAACCACCCTAGCAGTCAGCGACCGATGGGCGCTGCGGTAGTAATAAAGTTCAACTCTACACATACACCACAATGGCATCTTAATAGCCCCCGTGCGAAGCCGGGACGAGTCGCTGGTTTATTAAAAACCTAAGCAAAGGAAACCACCTCCATGATAGTCTATAACTATTATGAAGAAGTTTTCATGTTGACTTTTTATTATTTCAGTAGGTTATACAACACTCTTTTAAGAAAAACACACGAAATAAAGTTAATTTTGAATAGAATATAAATAATTTTTTAATATTTCAGAATGGATTCCTGAGGCGGTCCAATCATCTTGCGGCAAATGTACAGAGAAACAGAAGGTGCTAGTAGCGAAAGCACTGAAGGCGATTAAAACCAAACTCGCTGATGAATACGTCAGGCTCAATAAGATTCATAATCCCAATAGCAAGTACGACAGCACAATCGAGGACTTCTTAGCCAAGTATGCTGTATAACTGTTTTATTTAGGAGGAGGGTAATATGTGAAACCTTAAAGCGTTAATTCTAACATTTCTTTGTACTTTAACCTTATTGTACCTACATAAGAATGTATGAGTTACCCCTCACATTCAAGTTTTCATAATTGTATTAACTGGGTTTTTACGTAATAAAAATTATAAAACATTCTTGTGTCTTCTTTATCTTAGAAATTATTATCATTCAATTATTAATACACACATATACATATATATGTATATGTGTGTGTATATATGTGTAGCTGTGTCTCGCGGTGTTACGATTTTTTCATAAAGTGAGTTAAATGTGCACGTGCCGTTCAATTTCAAATTGTCCGATTACCTCAAGTATTTTGTGAATGAAAGCAAAACGCCACTTGAGCTTTGTGCAATATTCTAATTTTATGTGAAGAGAATTAATGGTAAGGCCACAGTAAAATAACGGAACGATGAAACATTATTTAGGTTCTTAGTGGTTATTTCTCTTGGTCCTTAGAGTGAAACATAAGTCACAGTGACGAATTATTTGTTTCGGCCTCGACATATTGTAGCTGCAGAGGCAGATACGAAACTGGTTCTATTTATTTCTCAGTCAGTCAAAAGTAACAAAAGAATTGCTGGACACGACTTCTCTGTGATGATTTTTGATTTTTTTTATGGAAAAGGGCAAACGAGCAGACAGCTCATCTGATGGAAAGCGCCCATAAACGCCTGCAAGTCAGGAGTCACAAGCGCGTTGGCGGCCTTTGATTGAAATTGTCTTTTAAATAAAAAAAATATGGGTCAATACAATATCACTATATCACAATACCAACATTGTCGTAACTAAAACTGTTATAACAATAAATAACAAATTATGAATTGTCGTTTTTAGCTAAGACATTTATCTGAAAAAATCGGTCAAACAAATGACGGCCTATCTTTCTTTGTCACTAGACAGTCAAACTAGGACAACTGTAACGTATTTATACGAAAACAGCATTAGTCAACTATTCCCAAACTGAATAAATTACATATGTTTTATTAGTATTATGATGAACTGGCTGACTTGCGCAACTTCCCCTTTGTTTCTCAAAAGGAATAAATTTACCCCGTTTTCATAAAACTTTCAAACGAAAATGTTCCAATTAAAATTCCTTGACAAATGAGCTATCCAACAATCAACGATGTTTTCAATTCGAACCTGAAGTAATAATAATAATAATCTTTATTAGAACAAGAAACAGTAGGTATACAAATTTGCTTGTGTTCGAAAATAACCACATTAGTTATGAACTGTGTCGTGGCTATTATCGCCCACCTCCAGAAAGGTGCAGACAACGGCGTTCCAGGAATAATAAAGATACCTTAGTGACTATAATAAGTTATACAATAAAAAAGAAAAAGAGTAAGTGAGTAAGTGTGTGTGTGTGGATATGTGTGTATGTCTCTGTGTGTGTATGTCTGTGTGTGTATGTATGTGTGTGTGTGTGTATGTATGTATGTGTGTGTGTGTGTGTGTGTGTATACGTGTGTATTTATACACATATGTATATCACTTAGTGATTCGCGCATGCCAATGAATATAAGTATGCGTGAGTGGAAGGACTAGTGAAAGTTCTAGTGACCCTATGTATTCACCAACAATTCGAGTTCGTCATACGTGAAAGCAGCCAACCATTCGTCGGTAAGTTTCTTACATTCACGGGTAGAGTATGGATAAATATCAAGTACTCTGTTGACTCTGTTGTACAAGAATGGAGTAAAGTATGAGTATTGACGACGAACAACTTCCAGTCTTGCGGTCTGAGGCGGGCATACCCGGTCAGATCGACCGAATCTCGAACGACGAGAAGTACGTGAGATTAGCGCGCAACATCTCAATATTGATGTATGAATATATTTACTTTTATTTACCATCAACATTTTCTTTTCAAAGCAAGTATTATATAGTACATGTTTTGAAGGTATCAAACTTTATAACAGTCTACCGTCAGTAAGAAATATTTAGCTTATTTAGGTATAGATTATCTCATTATATTGTAAACAATAGCTCATTTCTCACTTAAAAGATTTTTTTTATGTTATTTCAATTGTAATTTCACTAAATATCTAGAACATTACAAATTGTTGGGATGAATTTGTTATTTTTAAGTTAAAATGAGTTCTCATATAAGTGGCTTGTGTGCCTTTTTGAGAATATATTCTATAAACCTAATGGATGCATGATGTAATAGTTTAGCACTAAATAAAACCTGGCAGTAATCGCGGTTGCTTTACTGCCATTTTTTTAAGAGTTCCGTTGTCTGTCTCTCTCACTCCGACTCATCATTAGATCTATATGAAATTCAAATAGGGCCATTTTGAAATAAACCCCTTTCAAACAGAAAAATAATTTTGAAAATCCGTCAATATATGACGGAGTTATACATAAAAAAAAACAAATATTAGAATTGATAACCTCCTCCTTTTTGAAGTCGGTTGAAAATAGATATTAAACAGGAGTTTCGTTAATCATAAACTAACACTGGTTTATTTATACAGATGTTTATACACATAAAGGTATTTCTTAAAATTCAATTCAAAAACTTTAATCACCAAACCCTGAACTATTGTAGACTTTTAACTTAGAGTTAATATCAATTTTATTTAGATATTAATGTAAAATGAAATAAAAGATAAATAGTCAACATAATAATACATAGTGAACACGTGCATTAGTAAATCACGAACGATAACATTAACAACAATTATTACAATCTCGTTTGACAATTTCTAACACATGCAGATGTACGAGTATGATAATTTACTTAAATAATCTGATACAATGTCATACATCTTTTATTAACATTTCTAAACACATACATATTATAGATAAATAAGATTATAGAAAATTTATGTTATTTATTTACCGACGACCCCGGCTCAGCAGTCATGATCACTAACCATTCGACCAACAGGCCCGTCAAACTAGACCGAAAAAAAAGAAATTAGTATATTAGAAACATAAGTGTATTGAGTCTAAATACTGAGATACTGAGATGAGAAATACTTGAGAACTTATATACAATATTATAAACAATATTAATACTTATATACAATATTAAAATGTGAATAAGTTTCGAGTAAAATAAAGCAGGTAAAAACTTAAACTTCGCAGTTTGCGTAGAAATAAAAAAATAGTACCATACCGTCAACGAATATAATAATTAATTTATTGATACCAATACCGACACAGTTGTCTATTTAAAAAAAATGTATTAAGTAGGTACGATTATGTCCTTATTGTTAATTATGAACGATTTCGTTATAAGTAATGAGATATTGTAAGATGCCCGCAAGCCACTATCGTTACTTTCAGATGTTAATGCGAACTTACAGTGCACGGTGGGTATCTTTTCATATTTTTCCTTAAATGCTTGAAAATATTTCAAATCTTTACCTATTTTATCAGGAGGACACCTTCTTAGATGATCTTTGAGCTTCGTTGGTTTCATAGAATCATTCAAAACTTTGTTGCATAAAAGGCATATGGGCAATCGCTTGTCTGCTTTTGATGGAAGAAAACCAAATTTTAAATAATCAACACTATACTGTCGACAAGTATAGTAGGCCAAAACCTTCTTTCTAAAGAGAGGCCTATGTCCAGCAGTGGACTATTAAAGGCTGTTGATGTGATGTGATACTGTCGACATTTCTTCTAAGATTCAGCCATGTTTTGTATCAGTTACCTACCTATAAATAAATAAAACTTTGTTTTAGTAATCAAAGGCGGTCTTACTCAACAAGATATAGCTATTTTAGCAGAATAGGATTACCTAATTAATTATTGCAATGAAATGAACAAATTACCGACGGCAAACGGATTCTAATTATTAAAAGCACTAAATATGGCTGAACTGATCTTAATGTAATGTAAAACATTTTTTATAAATATATAAAAACTCCGCAATTTTAATTATTTATTTATTACTTTGATGCATGTTACGGGTACGTAAAGACGCGTACAATTTTTAAAACTATATTTAAATAAGTAATTTAGCATTAGGAACTTGAAATATTTACAAACATGCAGGTCAATCATAATATATCTGTCCTTTAGTGAACCACCAACAAGTCGGGTAAAAAGTATAAAAATAAAGTACGGACCAAAAGTTCAACCTTTCTCGGCTTTCTGTTCTTTTATGGAAGTATCTAATAATGACTCTGTTCAATATATAATCTTTTATAAGTACCTACCACACACAAACATTATAAATATACTAATTACAACATAAAATAAAAGTATGTATAACAAGTAGGCAGGTAAATACTTACTTTTTCCGACACTGGCAAACACTAACTTCGATTTACTTTACTTTTTTTTCGAAATTCCGGAAACAAATGAGTAACGTTTATCCTTGGCATTTGTATTTATATTGGTGAAGAATCAAACTAGTTCATGCAAGATAACAGTCGCTGAGCTTAAAATATTATCTGCCTACATTGATAGGTGAAGTCAAGCCAACGTTTTAGTTCTTCACTATCGAAAGCGGTTAAATTTTCGTGGACGCTTACGTGAATAGTGAACCCCAAATTTATTGTCACGCCAACGTAGACCCCCGCTAGTCTCCCGTGGACCCGTAAGGGGTCTACCTGGACTACTTTGAGAACTAAGGATCTAAATTATTTTGTTTTAGGAATAACTTTGAGGAGTAAGGAAACTCTTGATTTTAAACTTTTTGAAGATATTATAGAAATACTTGCTTTAGTAATGGAATGGCAAATCATTATGTGTTTTGTTACGTAGGTATTATATACTTGTTTTCTTAGACTCACAAAAAATGTAATTTAAACTCATAGTAACATCATAAGCCATCACAATTTTTTATTCAGTTGCAAGAAAATAATCAACCGCCTATCTTCAAGGACAAATTATCTCGGTGCTATATAAAGCCGATTGCGATCAAGATTTGAAAAATTGACAAGCCGTTTTTCGGTAAGTACCTATCACTAAAAATTGATTAATTGTTATAATATGTGGGAAATGTTTTAATTACTTATTTCTAAAATATCAGTTGATAAATATACATTTAATTTTATATTGAGTTACCGCGTTCCGTCTACGTAGGTCCACGTCAGAACCGACTTGCGGTTACCGTGTCCAAAGGCGGATCGGATCGGATGATATTCCGTCTAGTTACAGTGAACAGTTCTTGACAGCAGTAGAATCTTGATGCGATAGTAAAAAGGACTTACCTATAAAATATCTTCAACTTCAAATGACTATAGTGGCTAGTTAATAACACGATTTTGGAAAACTACCGTATTATATTTAACAGACTAATACCATTATTTCCAAAACAAAAAAAAACGGCCCAGATAATAATCTTCGGAATGCCTATGAACGTTGCAATATATGTACTGTCAACGAATATGCAAAATCCTACATTTGAAAAATGTGTGGAATATACTGATAAAGAAAATCCATCACTCTATAGAACCTGTTGATACTAGAGTTTGTCACTGTGACATATCACTGAACATTAGATAGAAGGAAATGGGTATCAGTGGGCTGCTAGTGGTAGTACAACACACCTCTAGGGGGTAGATGTCTTGTTTTCTACAGTGGTTAGTAAGTCAGTTTACAGCTTTGTTCCAATATCTACATGGACCATAATTTTGCGTTTAACACCAGTTACAATAGTTACAATGAAAATCACCCAAGTGTAGTCGGCCAATGCCGAAAAAGGTGACAGAATTTTCAGTAAATTCTCTGAGGTTGTATAACTACAAACATGAGCTGCACTTAGTAATGATGAACACAGTGGGATCAATTTATTATTATTTTGCGTACCCACCTATCTTGCCAATATTAATACCCATTAATACTCCATTGCTGGATATAGGCCTCTCTTTAAAAAGGAGGTTTCGGCCTAATATACCACGATGGCCAGACGGGTATGTACAGGGTTCGTTTCAAGTGTTCCTCCTTTCTCTTTTTCTAATTATTATTAGTGACACTTTGTATTCTTAATCCATCACTACACGGATACATCTAAGCTTAAACATTTATTTGTCTTAATATTGTTTTACGTTTTTCGTAGAATCGTTTATCATGGAACTACTCATCGTGCTCGCTCTGGTTGCATTTTCGATAGCTCGCCCGGTGGCTCGGCCGGTGAGCATTATGACTCCAAATATGATCACTTCGATGTCAATGAACTAATTAACAGCGAACGCTTAATGAAGGCGTACGCTCATTGCTTTAATGGAATTGGAAAATGTACTCCCGAAGGATCTGATTTTAAAAGTAAGTTTAATTTTGAGTTTGAAAATACACATTTTGATAGCGTTATACGATATACACATAACGAAAACTAACTCTAGAATGACTTCTTGTTGAATAATAAATCATGTTTTCTCAAAACAAAACATAATTTATAATTTATGGCAAGATTCAATATAACATGATAACATAAAATGAGCTAACTTGAAATAAAAGTTGTTATTATAACTAAATTGTATTAAAAGATTTGTTAAACACAACCCTTCGCCCAACCTATATTATCTGTCTATATATGAGGCATTCTTTGTGAACGAATGACCCGGTTAGGCTTAGGTATTGTAAGACTATATCTTTTACTATTGTTTTCTATCTTTTAATATTGTTTTATTGTATACGCGCGCGTTGCCGGCGTTTTATGCATAGGTGCGGGAAAAGGGTAGCGGGGCACTGTTGCACGTGGCCCGAAATGCACGTTGCATCAGTCCTCCAGGCAGTCCGTTGCGAGCCCTTCCGCAGCCAGTCCGTTTTAAGCTCTTGCGCAGTCCTGGTGCACCCGCGAGCGAGTCCCATCGTAATTATGTAGTTACCACGTGTGGACGGGATTCAGTAACAGTTATCTTGTGTCGGGCTAAACGCGCGTAGTTCTCAATGTTGTGATAATGTAATTAAATAGCCAATATTCCTGTGTCTGTGTGTTTCTCTGCTACTTACCTCATTAGCAACACCTCACTTACACACCCTTCTCCAAAACTTCGATAGCTAGTCCAACAAAAGATCTGAACCCATAGTTTTTATACCGAATATCATATGTAGTGAATCCACATTCCAGACCCAATATGGCTACATAAACCAAGTGCCCTAAACATTTTTTTTTTTTAAATTATAAAACTTGCTGCATATATCTGATGGGGGTCTAGAAAGGCCTAAATCAAAGGTCTTGAACTCTTTTTACCTTTCATTAACCCGCTTAAATAATGGTTTTCATTTACTTTTTGCAACTAAAATGTGCCAAAGCGTAACGTAGTGGGGTACAGCTAGTTAATTATAAATGATGATAATGAATAAAAATATTTTTTTAAATATTATAAATATATTGCTATAATTTAAAGGTTCAGGTTCTGTGAATTCGTTAATGATATAAGATTGAATTGACACCGCAAAAACTCTATTCAAAAATTGTTAATAAACAATAAATGCTTGCTTGCTATTGTACTAGCTAATGAAGTTTACTTGTATGTAAAACATCTAACTCAGAGTGCATTTAAACAGAATGGATTCCTGAAGCGGTCCAATCATCTTGCGGTAAATGTACGGAAAAACAGAAGATCCTAGTAGCGAAAGCTCTTCAGGCTCTCAAGACCAAACTTCCTGAAGAATACACCGCGCTCTCCAAGACTCATGATCCCGAGGGAAAGCATGCTGATGACCTGCAGAAATTCTTAGATAAATACGGCGCTTGATTAGTTTAATGGGTCCCGACTGTTGCAGTCAATATGTACCGTATTTTACACTTTTGGACTTGTTTTCTTTTTCATTTTTTATTTAAAGTTATTAGTTAGTTATTATTTGTTATTTTTTACACCGTCGGGTTTTTTTTTTATTCAAATTTATTTAAATAAATCCGTGCAGCGTTTCGGAAGATATGAGGTAATAAATAATATTACATGCATACAAGATACGCGTAAAAACATAACGATTCATTTCAATTTTTGAATCAGGATTATGTGAACAAAATAATTGATAAATCCTGTGTGTATACTTATTTATTCCTTTCAATTCAATTTAAATAAAACCCTTATAAAGATCATACAGATTCAAAAAAAAAAGTAAAGTAAAAAAGTAAAGTAAGTATTCAAATAAAGTAAAGTAACCAGTTCTATTCTCAGACCTTTTAACAATTTTCTTTAGTGTATAGTATAAATCGTTATCACTAGCAGTGACATCGTCGTGTCGAAGGCTGGTGCCTCGTTGTAGGGGAGGAGACGGGTTCGTGTCGCTGATATATATTCGGTTTGACGTTTCCGGCCAGTTCTACTGGTGGTCTCCGGATACAAGGTGGTGGTATAGCTTGTATAGCATCCGTGGGCCCCACCGTTGTCCCGGTGTCTTTAGCCAGAGTTGCTTGAGAGGGTTATTCGGCTCCCTGTTCCCATAACGATGACACCGTCTTACCCGCTTGAGGCGCCCCACATGGATGATGACGACGTGCCTGAGGTTATTTGGCCAGAGTTAGGGCCGGCGGTGCGACGGCTTAAAGCCAAAAACCTCGCCCTGGGATCCGATGGCATTCCTGGCAGAGCATGGGTCTTGGCCCTTGGTGACGGGGCTATCGAGTCCCCACTGAGAGGGCCCTTCACCGCACGCCTCGAACAGGGCCAGTTGCCGAAGTTATGGAAGACGGGAAAACTAGTCCTCATCCGAAAGGAGGTGCGGGGTAAAAATACCATGAACTACTACTACTACTACATCTAAATTAGTCGAGTCACCATTGTGTCAATGCTCGTATAATACGATGTACTTCGTAGAGTATGCTCATGATATACTCTACGAATGTAGTCATTATACCAAATTATTAACGTAAGATTGTATATACGTGGTATACTATGGGGAACTTGTGTCAACTAGGTTGAATTTCCTTGCGTTTCCTGTCATACATATTATATAAATCAAATATGGCTCATTTAGGACACATAATATTTTGTGGCCGTGGTGCTCCCTAATTCAAAGGGTGTATCCCTATTTTACTTCATTTTGTGATCTATTTGATCAAAGGTGTACAAGTGGGTTTTTCTAGGTAAATAGAGGTGCGTAGTTGACTCCGGTAAACATGCGATGTCCGTTTACACAACTATATATTTAACTTTTTTTAAATTCATTTTAAACGCATGATTACTTATGAAAATGATTATAATAATACCGCTTTTGAGTCTGCTATATCCTCTGACGAAGACAGTTTGGCTTCGTTAACCGATAATAATACATTAGGTGAACGCTTACGTACCATATTGTGTGTCACCTAAATGCTCAGAGTCTACCCAGTCACTTTGGGGACTTGACAGAGGCCTTTAGTGACACCAACGTTCACGCCATCCTGATTTACGAGAGTTGGGTCAAGCCTAATCTCGTTTCCACTTCCCATCCTCTCACAGGCTATATTCTTGTTCGTAATGATCGAGTCGGCAGGAGAGGTAGCGGAGAAATCAGGATGGCTACCAATACATTTTCCTTTAACGTAAAATTAAAGCAGTATCTGTTCAAACAACTGGCAGAATCAACTTGCTCATGATTTCTTTTTATTTTAAAACAAAATTATCATCAGTATCTATTTGCGTGTGTATGTATGTATTTATACTGTATTTATGTATTATAAGGTATGTACATACTGTACTGTAATATGTGTAATATTAATATCTATAGGTGTAGTATATTACAGATTTGTATATGTGTACAAGTCTGTCATATACTACACAAAGTGTACATACAGCATTAAATGTCTTATAATAATCAACTGTAATTAAAATGCACCTACTTCCTGTTTTCTCTGTATCACTCAATGGTTGACTGGTAATGGCCGCCAATGCACCAAATGTGCATGATGTGTAAATAAATAAATATTTATTATTATCTGTAGTGCATCTCCCAACACATTACATCAATGTTATAAGATAGATAATAAAAGTTAATTTAATCTGACACAACTTTTCTTATCGTCGTCTCGAGTGGATTCGTTATCTACAATCCTTGCACAAAGGGTGCGAATAAAATTTAGACATAAATTCTGTCAACCTTAAGATATTTGATGATGTCCTAAGTAGCAAGTGGGCTTTATTAAATATTAACGGTATGATGTAAACAAATTCTACAGAAATTTCTTTCTAGGAGTGCACAAGAACTATAGAAAAGAAATGTCTGTAGGAGAACTAATTCCTTCCTCTTACTCGTAAATATTGATCCTTTGGTAGGGTGAGGAATTCGTAGGTTAATATTTAGAGAATACCCTTCACCATAGTCACTAAAATTACGTTTGTTAGTGTAATTTGTTCTGTGGTAGTTTTCACGTCTAGCAGTAATTTGGCTTTTTGAGAGTTACAGACGATATCTAGCGTAAGTACTCGTACAATATTTGGCTGAGCAATTGGTTTCACAAGTTTTTTGGAGCGCGGGCCCAATCGCAACAGAAATTTTTATTCCTAAAAACTCTTTTTAATAATTGCCCGCAAATACAACAAAACGATACTTTGATATTTTTAATTACGAATATAAAATTTGATACCAATAATAATGTATATATAATAATCACAGAAAATTTTGTTTTTGAATTCATGTTCAATAATGTTCATTAGCAAAATTGAAACAGAATTAAAATGACTTCTTTGAATAGATATCTGAAAAGTATTATATTTTATTTCGATAAATGACGAAACATTTCTGTTTTCTCTTTTAAAAGTACTTATATTTTTCAGTTCCTTTGTTATTAGCAGGGACGCCTCTGTAGGTCCAGATTATTTAGTTGGTAAGAATAGATAGATGGTACGGGAAACAGAGTGTACTATTATACATATACCTACAATGAATTATTAATTAACAAATATAACTTTTACGAATAGTAAGAAATAATTTTATTGCAAATTTTTGTATCCCTTAATCACCTTAATCCAATCATCGTTGTAACAATAATAATAATTACAATTACAATTGTCAGCGTTACTAAAGGTGACGGAAAACTTTAGTAATTCTATCAAAATGGAATTTAGTGTAGACAAGTGTGCAGTCATGTATGTAAAGAAGGGTATGATAGTAGAATCTAAAGGAGTAGAGCTTTCCGATTCAACAAAACTCAGATCTCTGTCTGCCACTGAAACTTACAAGTATCTGGGTATATCACAGTCGTTAGGCATACCAGAATCTGACATGAAATAAACGTTGCAGGAACGCTTTTTTGGCCGCTTGAAAAAGTACTTAAAAGTCTTTTATCAGAGGGCAACTAGGTGCGAGCCTGCAATAGTTGGGTCATGCCGATTCTGATGTATTCCTTTGGTATACTTAAATGGACTCAGACCGAATTAGATGCCCTTGACAGGAGAGTCCGTACATTGCTGACTGCATTTCGAATGCACCACCCACGTTCATCGGTTATGAGATTGTATATCCCGAAAAAGCTAGGGGGTCGCGAAATATTATATATCAAGACCCTACACAATCGCTAGATATGAAATCTCAGAAATATTTTCTACATACCGATGTGGGAATGCATCGCAATGTAGTTGCAGTGAATATTGGATTCACCTCGCTCGCTCTGGCTAAAGAGAATTGGCATAAACCTGTAGTACTTAGTACTAATGATCGTAGGGAAGTATGGAAGGGCAAAGAGCTCCGAAGAGCTCCGAAGGGTTCGATATAGACTTTAAAGCATCTACGACTTGGCTACGGTATGGTGATCTCTTCGGAGAAACTGAAGGTTTTGTTTGTGCGATTATGGACGAAATTATCATGACGAATAACTATCGGCAATATATCCTGAAAGATGGTACGGTTGACATCTGTCGGGCATGCCACCGTCCTGGAGAATCAATCAGGCATATTATTTCTGGTTGTTCTCGTCTCGCTAACGGTTAATATTTACACAGGCACAACCAAGTAGCCAGGATCGTACACCAACAGCTTGCTCTTAAATACCATCTTGTGAATCTAGAGGTTCCATACTACAGGTATGTGCCCGACCCAGTTAGAATGGTCGGGCCACGTTGTATTGGGATCGATCTATTATCACAGATAGGACTATTGTTGCCAATAAGCCTGATATTGTAGTGATAGATCGATTAGAGCGCCGCGTAATGATTGTTGATATCGCCGTTCCTCATGACGAGAATCTCGTGATAGTTGAAAAAGAAAAACAAAGAAATATTTGGATTTATCATATATATACATATATATACAAAGAGACTTGGCGTCAAGCAGAGGACTGGCTATAGAAACCAGATAAATCAACATTACACATTGTACCGATCTGAATGCAAAAATCCTTCCAAATAAAAAGCCTTCCAAATCAACAGATGGCAGATGGTCACTTAAGATTGCTAAATGGAGACCCATGACAGAACAACGCAAGGTCGGAAGACAGTCTGCCCGCTGAGTCGACGACATTGTGAAAATAGCGGCGTTATCATGAAGAGGTCTATACCCAACAATGGGTGACTAAAGGCTGAAGATGAAGAAAAACAACTAAAAGGATCAACATAACATTTAATACACACCTTTACGCTCAAGAAGCCGCAAACTATTGATAGTTATTAATAAAATAGTCATAGTGACTAGAAAAATTCAGACTGTAAAAGATTATTTTATTAGTTTCTTTTTATATAAATATATATTTAACAAGCATAATTGCTATTAAAACACGGAACTAAGATCTAAAACAATTAATTAATTTAGGATTTAAACATAAAAAAGTACTTTATTACTGCAAAATTTCCAAGGACATAATTTTTGTTAGTTTTGTTAGTGGTGTATATAAATGCTGGATTTTTGTTAGGAAGGCACAGACAACTATTGACTAGGTAAGTGTTATCATGAAAATATAATTACTTTCTTCTGATGAGTGATCTTTAAATTTGTTTCTACTTTGCTTGGTTTTGTATTTTGAAGAGATTATTTATAATCTCGTAGAAAAATAATTATTACCATCTTTTGAAAATGTTGGGTAGAGTAATTATGGAATGGGCTGAAATAAACACAGTAATATTCAAATAGTTAGTGATTCATTGTTTCACAAAAATACTTAAGATATTAAATAAATTGCCCAATTGAAAACCAGCGTCAGGCTTCCATCTGACATAAGGCTGAATTGGGTCGGTTTTTGGCATCGTTGGTAATCCAAGTTGCAATTGTTCAAACTGTTGTATTATTGCCAAAATAAACGATTTTTCTTTCTTTCTTTCTTTCAAAAATTCTGAATGCCGACCTTATACGTTCTACCTATCACCATTCGCATTGCAGTTAGATATTCTGTATGAATAAAGAATAAACTTTTGTCAAATGTTTTTAAAATAAAACTTTTAAGATTTTATGTACGAATGTTCTGCTTTTTTAAAAACACATTTAAGAGTAATTACCAAGAAATAACTTGCTAATTATTATATCAGCATTAGTTCATGGGTCAACGGGTTAGTGGCATTATTCCTCAGTTGCGATTTTCCCCAAATAATAATAACACTTTTAAGAACAACGAATGTGTTGCGTTTTATCCTGAAAATTGATATAGGCGTAACTCAGATAAAACAAAATAGGCAATTACTGATGGCGATACAAATGTTTTGAAATATAATTCTTTATTAAAAATAATGAAATCACAACGCTTAATAATCAAATCACAGTTTTGCTATAAATTTGCTCTAATATCTAGATAAATTTTAGATATAGATGATTTAATATAGGTAACTATTGATGTGTTAAATTACCAATTTCTAGAATCTTCCGATAACTACTGACTTCTAGTTTTAATTCTTAATCTAGAGTAAAACCTTTTAAATAGATGCAATCACTGTGTTTAGTTACTGAATCATAGTTTTTATACAACTTATGACAAACTAAATGTCTAAATCACCTACTAGTCGTAATAATGTATCTTCATATCAGGTTAAAAACAATATATATGTCAACAAACGGGTATAAAGAAACCAATGAAAAAAAAATTTTTGATTGATTTTTAAATCACAAACATTTCTAAAATATTATTAAACAATTTCAAAATCTATCGAAGTTTAAATTAACGCCGTCATATTATAAAAAACAGTACAAACAATACGTGTCAAACAAATTGCACGCAATCACATTAAATTACAAGCCCATAAATATATTACCTATGAACCATAAGAACAAGCGTATACTGTCGGGTTTGTGAACAAAAACTCAATAATTAGACTTTAGTAGTCTGTAAAAGAACTGTTGTCGTCTCTCTAATAGTCTAGTAACGAAAAGGGGAAATCCGTAACTAGATTTAATATTTAATTTTTCGGGGAAAATCGCAACTGGGGAATAATGCTACTAACCCCAAACAACAGACAACTTGTAATAAGAACAGATTCAAAAGAAAAAGAAACAAGTAACAGGTGATAAACTTAAATTACACAGCGGTAGTAGTAAACATTATTTGAAAGGTGAATAGAAATCAAATGTTATGTGGTTCTTTTTTCCGTAGAATTCATCACAATGAAACTGTTCATCGTTATTGCACTGAGTGCGTTCGCAGTTGCTCATCCCGACGGATACTACTATGATCTCAAGTATGAAAAATTCAACATAAACGAAATTATAAGTGTCGATAATCTCTTGAAGGCGTATGCTCTCTGCTTCAAGGGAGCCGGCAAGTGTACTCCTGAAGGGACTGATTTCAAGAGTAAGCAGTTTTTATACTCTCAATAGATTTATGCTTATATACTTACATGCGTATTTACTCTAGTAATATTACTAACATCGAAGTTCGTCAGAAACAATCATAATTTTACCACATTAAGTAGAAACAAATTAATAATGTTACATGCCAACATTTCCACAATACCGTAAAATTGTGTCCTACTTATATTCTTTCATTAAATTTCACAGGATGGATCCCGGAAGCGTTTCAAACATCCTGCGCTCAATGTACGGAAAACCAGAGGGTGTTAGTGGCAAAATGTCTTAAAGCCATCGCGACCAAATTTCCGGAGGATTACAGCGAGCTCTGTAACGTCTATGATCCTCAGAAGCATCACGAGGTCGAGATCCAGAAATTCATAGCTAAATACTCTATTTGAAGGATGATAATATTGTAACAAAGATATTATTTTTTAAATATAATTTCGTAAAATTGGCTTTTAACGAGTAATTGCAGTTAATTTTATTCTTTAATTTTACTACCTTAACTTCCCACGATCATAAAAACTTTGCTAGGTTAGCAGTTAAACCCTTACATAGGTAAAAAAAAAAGTGTGATGCTGTACGTGGCCTTTCGTAAGGAAAAAGATCACATGACTTACTTGACTTAATATCCTAAGTCCCCGAGATAGGGCAGAGGGCGTCCACAATAGTCCTCCATCGCGTTCGGTCCCGAAATAAAATGCGAAACTGATAACTAAGATCGAGAGCTCGATCTTGCCGGCAGTTCAAAGTATAAGTATGAAACCCTGACATCGTTACTCAATTGCTTACACACCGCACGCTATCTACATAATCTCCCTCATTCCCTTCTCACCTAGCTTTCCCTTTCAATATAGATAATTCTAATTTCTTCCCCCTTTAATTACCTAATATCGTACCTGTAATAGACCTGATCTTAGTCGTCAAAATGTGGCAGTCGTCAAAATGTGGATATAGAAGTAAATATACATATATGAAGGAACATAACAGTCTTGGAAGCAAGCAATTAATAGAGGGATCAGATTTGTTGTTATTATTGTGGTAGATTATTGTAGTATGTAGAGATTATTCCTAATATTTATCTTTCGATTTACCTGGTGAGGATTTTGTAAGATTTTTTTCCTAGCAAAAGCTTGTTTTTTTAAATGAAATTAATGTTATTATTGGTTGGTCAATTTTACTATTCAATTAATGGTATTTGAAGCACCGTCAAGAAAGTAATATACTTGGTTTAAAATAGTCAAAAGAAAAAAATACATCAAACCTTTTCGCATTTACATTCCACCATATACGAGTATTTTTCATTAAAACGTGTTTAGTCTTTTAAACTAGATGTTACGTAAATGGTATTATGACAAATTTAAAGTTTTTTAACACAGGTAAATAAATTTTCCTTATAGCTTCGCCATATCCGTCTGTCTGTCCTTCTGCCGTTCAGCTTAAAAACTCTGAGTGCTAGAAATCTGTAATTTTAGGCACTCAGACTCAAGCAAATGAGTGGTAAAATAAGCTGTAAAATAAAACTTGAAGCAAACCCTTTACCAACCCGACTGGCCAGCGTAGTATGGTAGGCCAAAACCTCCTGTCTAAGGAGAGGCCTGTGCCCTGAGGGTGCCGCTAGATGTCTTGTTAAAATATCGTGTGAGTATGAACATTGCTTTTCGATTAAAGGAGTCGTTTGAGAATTGTTCAGTTTTTAAATGCTAATTTTGTTAGAGTCAAAATGACTGTTTATCGATACGTCGAAAAAATCACATCAGTAGGTACTCGTATATAACAAAGTTAAAAATAAAACTATCGTAGTTAAGTGGTGTTTACAAATTAAGGAGTTATAGTCGGCCACCTTATGGAAATTAGTTAGATAAACTTGTTACTCGTAGTTACGGAAAACTAGTTACAAATATAATTTATGACCCGTGTGAAGTTATGGAACAATAAAATCATTACAGCCTTAATATTAATAATTCCTAAACTAATTACAATGCTAATATTAATGTTACTTTATTGTTTTTTTTTAACATTCGAAAAACTCGTTGGACTGTACTGAATGGAACCTATGTTAGTAATTTAGTTGTACAATTAAATTATTTAAAGTGTCGGTAATGAATGATCAGTGATTAACTACTGTAACAACAATACTGCAGTATGTAAATAATTCTCCCCACCCCCGCACTCTGAGGGAAGGGGAATCAAAGGATGGCCAAGCACTTGTGAATGCGTGACCCGATAGGCACGTTTGCCCCCTATACCATAAAAAACCATTAATTACTAAAATAAATCAAAACAAAATATGACTATTAATTTGTATATTAAAAAATGACAGAGATAACTTACTCGTAAGATTAAAACCCATAAAATTTATATCTATTAAAAAACACGTTGCTAAACGCGAGAGCCCATCATGGATTGCTATGATCATTAACAAAACATTTCTGTATTACCTCTTAAAAAGTACTTATATTTTTCATTCCCTTTGTCAGCTACAGGAATGAGTACCATTTAAAATTTTTCTTTGAAGTAATACATTTCTGTGCCGTCTCAAACGAAGAAAGAAAAATTTCTATAGCGTCAAAAAAAACACTCTATTTTAACAAAAAGATATGATACGTGTTTTCAAATACAAGTACCGAAGGTAAGTCATAATATTAAGAAATTCATGTGGTAAAAATATCTGAAAGCCTAGTGTAAGTTTATTTCACTTCGACTCGTGACCGCGTTCGGCTTTGTAATTGGCCCGAACTAAACTCTTCACCAATCAATCCAATTAATCGATCGAGTCGAAGTGAAATAAACTTACATTACGCCCTCTAATTCTTAAAATTCTAATGTGCCAAGTCGAGAGTTTGCTATTATTCGGACAGAAATTATTGGTCGGCGTTCGTAGGTTGCTACTGTAAATATTTAGAATCAACGAAGAAATTGTTAGACTAGATTGAGTTAAAGATAAGTTTTATGCCGTTTAATATCATGTTATAGAGCCAGTCAAAGAACAAAAGTGAACAACAGATATCATTTCACCTTATAAGTTATACGAAGTTAATGTCTTAAATTCTTATAAATGTTAATAATAGCTTGCCAAAAAGTAATTATATTAACGTCATATGTTCAATGTTATTTATAATTTAATACAGCAAACTAATACAAACAATGTTTAAAATAAAAACAAGCTTGATTTAGAACGTGATAAAGTTACAAATAAGTAACGAATAATCTGAGTTGCTAATAATTCTAAGCTCGTTTTTGGCCTTAATTAGGTCTATAAAATTTTAAACACATTATATTACATTACCCGTCTACAAGTAAAACTCGGGTCACAGTAGCTAGTGTCTACTTTCAGTTATTCATCATATCATTCATACTGTCATTATATTTTTATAAACACCGAATATTGTTTTTTCATACGACCGGACAATAAAAATAACGCTGTACTTCTGCATTCACAGTTGCGTAATAGGTTCTTAACAACTAGAGGTAATTTCGCTAATGTTGTAATAATAGCGACTATTAAATAAACGACATTGTTTTTATGGTATTGTAAATACGAATATTTGATGCATAGTAAGACTATTTCTTACTTACTTACTTAAATAAGAAGCATTTTCTCAATTCGACTGCCTGAATTTGTGTGCATAAAAACATCAAAACACGTCAGTCTCATCTCTTTTCCTCAGTATCATCTTCTCCCTATGGACCGCATCAAACGAAGAACGACTTGAATCGTCGATAGTTAAAAGATGTCCGATCGGCTCGATCCCTTGGCGTTACGTAGACATGTTGCTTAACTCTCTATCGTATATATCATGGAGAGTGCTCTGAGGAATTGTGCGGACTAATACCGGTCGCAACTTTACGCGGTCGCAAAATTCTCATCCATATCACTTGGATAATTTGCACTCTACCACTGTGCACTTTTAAAGACACTTTTTGTCTCGCATAACCAATCTTTGGAACAAGTTATCGTCTGCGGTATTTTTGGACCGATACCATCTTCTAACCTTCAAGAACAGAGCATACTCCTTCCTAAAAGGCCGGCAACGCTCTTGTGACTCCCGAGTTGCAGGCGTTCATGGGTTAGCCCTCTCCTCCATAAAAAAACATAAAGTACATTAATGACAATGTTATGTCAAGTATAACTATTCAGATACTTTGAAGTATATTGTATTTTTACTTTCTCCTGATGTATGCTAGGCCTAATCTCAATAGCCTCTTATTCATTCAAAGCAAATTGTGAGAGGAAGTTCTTCAATGGACTGCCATTCGTGCCATAACGAAGACTTCCGGTTGTCCCCTCTTGGAAACTTGTAACCTATCTTTTATTTAAACTTGTATTAAAGAAATATTTTTTATTACTTTTAAATGTAGAAGAAATCTATTTTAAACAAAAAAAAAATAAGTTGGCAGAATATTAATGACTAAAATGTGAAAAAATTGCAAGGTGAACTTCAAACCTAACATTAAACATCTTTATTCAGGTATAAAAACTGACGCATTCACTTTTGGAATATCATCCTTTGAAGGTATCGGCAATTCACTCCCGAGCTCACATATGTATATACGTAACACTTTCAAAAAAGGCCTCTTTTTATTGAAGCGAATTTTGATCGCCACAGATGGGAGTCTATTTAAGTGGTCACGGAAAACGCCGCCCATAAAAACTTTCTATGCACGTAGACATAAAATAACACACGACGGTGTTATTATATGTCTACGTGCATAGAAAGTTTTTATTTTTAGATTTACCTACAAATCCGTTTATTCAAATGTGAAATATTGTTTGTATATTCTGGGTGATCTCCCTATTTAGCAAGATCATCTAATTAAAGTTATACGAATTACGTATAGTAGAAATCTGTACATACACATATTAGTAAAAGTACATAATTTTGGATTTATATTGTTGAGGTATTATTTTAACAAAATTTTATAAAATCTTCATTATTGTTTTGTACTTGTTTAATTACTGCATCCTCTATTAATGCACTAATTAGACGCACCAAAATAACAAACTGTAAATTACACAATAATTGATGCTTCATAAGGTTGTCGGTAATGTAATAATATGTGTAGTTAAAAACTCTTGCATCTAGAACAATAATTCCACAAATTTAAAATGTTTAGAGATGGTCTTAAATTATTTTTTTAAACCGTCTGCTTCCCTTGACCATACAAATAAAAATATCAGTCAGTCCTGTCAGTCAGTCTCTCATGTATGGCCTCAAATCAAATAAAAAAGTTAAGCCATGAAACTACGCCTTGGTGTGAACATACACAACTACATGCACACACGTACAACCAATCTACGCCTTGTCGTACGCCATCACAAAGTTAAGAAGTAAAAAAACCACAACCAAAACTACAAGAGATAGATAGTAGGAGGGAGTCGCATTTCACAGATTTA